CCCCCCCCCCCCCCCCCCGCCCTGCCCCGTCTGTCCTTCATCATGAGGAATTAGAGTTGAACGTTTCCACGCAGCCATAAATACGGGCCCAAACACGGCTGGCTTCAAACTACCCTTGGTTTGGCCAGCAACCAAGGTCAAGGGTCCCACCCAGCAAACACGGGGCAGGTGCTCAGAGAGGATCTCAACCTAGCTCCCTGTGGCGGGCGGACAGGTTGGAGGGCCGTGTCGGCCGAGGCCCAAGGTCAGCTCTTGGGTCAGATCCCAGGAGCCCAGGCCCGACCCCAGGGTGACACACGCTAGGCAGTGGTGGGGGCGGATGCCTGTCGAAGTGGTGACCCTGTCCCCTGTCCCCAGCCTGCCGCATCCGTCACAGACAACTGGAGTCCACGTACCCGCACGTGCCGCCCCACCGCCCCCCACCTGCCTACACCTGCGCCTACTCCCCCACCGCCCCTCACCTGCCCCCCACACCGCCCCTCACCTGCCCACACCTGACCCTGCCCACACCTGCACCGGTCCCTCACCTGCCCACACCTGCCCCCACCACCACCTCTTACCTACCCATACCCGCACCGGACCCCTCCCAGCCCCTCACCCACCTGAGGCGGCAGCCGGTCCGTGGCTGCAACGATCTGCCACAGGAGTGCATAGTAGGTGCACTGCAGCGCACAGTGGATGACCTACGGGACACAAGACCTGTCATGGAGTTGGGGACACGGACAGGACACCCACCTGTGGACGCTGCTCTGCACAAGACCCCGAGCCCTCACCGGGACCTGCTTCCCCCCCCCCGACCTCTCCCCCCAGCCCCAGGACCCTCCTCCCCAGGATCCTTCCTTCTCCCCAGGACCTCCCACCTCCCTGCACCTCAGGACCCACTCTCGCCCCGGCACCCTCCTCCCACCGGCGCCCTCCCCTGACCCCGTGGCCCTCACCTCGGTGGGCATGCTGCCCTGGTGCCTGCGCAGGGTCAGCAGACTGTCCATCTTCTCGTACAGGTTCCAGCTGCTCAGGTCATGCGTGCTGACCAGAAACGGGGCTCTCAGGGCGCACCTCGGCCCGGGACCCCAGCGTCCCCGAGGTGAGCCGCCCACGCCCGGTCAGCAGCCCCCGGAGCCACAGGACCAACTCCCGGCAGACCGAGGGGCATCCGCCCCAGATGGCTGAGGCGGCCCCTCCGGGATTCCACGGCGCGGGCGTGGCCGAGGCGGTCCCAGCTCCTGCACACGTGGCTCAGGGCCCCAGACAGGCAGGACGGGCTCCCGGGGAACCCGCAGCCACCCGGCCCACCCCGGGGACACACCTGAGGCTCTGAACCCCCCTCGCCTCACCCGGGACACAGGAACGCGGCTCAGAGTGAGACAGTGGGCACGTTGCTGGGGGGTCACGTGTGCCCCCCGCCGAGGGAGCCGGCCGTGTCACCCCACTCACCTGTAGAAGGCCACCAGCCTCCGCAGCGTCGAGCAGATGCGACCCATCTCGTGGTGTCCCAGGAACTGGCCTTGTTTCTACACAGCAGGGCGAGAGCAAAGGGGTGGCCGCCTGACACGTGCGTCCCGGGCGGGGCTCCTGGGGCGCTGGCTTCGAGCCGGCCCGCCATCCTAGGAGCCTCCTCTCTTGCTACTTCCTGGAAGGCGGCTCTTTAAATTCTCGGATCGGGACGTGGTACCCCAGGCCACTCTGCCTCCAGCCTCGCAGAAAAGGGGGGGGGGGGGGGGGCCAGCCCCCAAACCCGCGTGCGCGGACGCCGAGAAGAACGGAAATGACCCGAGATCTGCCGTCTCCCAGCACTTCAGGCGTGGCCCCGTGAGGAACCCGCTACAGGAACTAGATTTCCCACTTGGCAGCGGGCAGAACACACAGGGGAGCGTGTCGCTGACCCCCAGCCCCCCCCCCCCAAATTCATGGCAGGCCCTCGGCTGGGGGCCGCAAGAGGAACCGGGAGCCCCGCCTGTGGCGACGGGTCCTCAGAAGGAAAGTGCCCAAAGCGGGGCTGGACACCTGGTCCACAGGTCACGTGGCCCTCGGCCCGTCGGTGCCAATAAAGTTTTATCGGCACACGGCCCAGTCACGTGATACGTGTGCGCTCTCGGACTACCCCACCCCGGAACAGGATGACCCCCAAAAGTGCTCGCGACGTGCCGCTTTACAGAAACCCTCTGCTTGAGCAGAGCCACAGCCTCGGTCAGACTGGGTCCTCTGTGGGCTCACGGGGCTCCCCTGGGGGAAAGTGAGGCCCATGTGTGACCCCCCCCCCACATCTCCCCACTCCCAGGGGACAGAAGCCCCCACCGGAGGTGCGGGGTGAACGGCAGGGGCGCAGAGAACCCACCCTGCGTCCCCAGAGACCCAGAGCCGGTCCCCGGGTTCGCCGGGCCGACCCCCAACAGGCGCCTGACGACGAAACGCCCAGGGCCGAGGCCGAGCGTCCTCGCCGGCGCGTGGCCCGCCTCGGTGGAGGTCTCCCCACCCCGCGCGACACGCCGCACACCCACGCCCGCTCGCCGACACCTCCGCGTCTCCACGCCCGCCCCCACGGCCGGCACCTCGTGTTGGAGGAACACGTCGAGCAGCGGCGTCAGCGCGTCCACCAGCATGTCCACCAGCCGGCTGCAGGCGGGGGCGGCCTGGCAGTGGGCGGAGCCCCCCTCGCAGCAGTAGGCGCCGTAGGCGCGGGCACAGGCCTCCAGCACCGCCACGTCCGAGTGCCGCTGCACGAGGCAGTCCAGCTCCAGCAGGGCCGAGTCGAGGTCCTGGGGGCGGGGGGGGGGGGGGCCCCCCCCCCCCCGGGCCCGGGGCCCGGGGCCCCGGGGGGGGGGGGGGGGGGGGGGGGGTGGTGGTTGGGGGTCGTGGCACCGAGGGAAGGGGTCAGGAGGTCGTGGGGTCATGGCAGTGAGGGGAAAGGTCGGGGGTCATGGCACCAAGGGAGAGGGGTCGGGAGGTCGTGGGGTCATGGCACCGAGGGGGAGAGGTCAGGGAGGTCATGAGGTGGAGGGGGAAAGATTCGGGGTCAAGGTCATGGCATCGAGGGGAAAGGTCGGGGAGGTCAGAGAGTCAAGGAGGAAAGTGCCAGGGAAAGGTCAGGCTATCGAGGGGGGAAAGCCTGGGGATGCCTGGGTCAAGGGGAAACGTCATAGTTCAGAGGGTTGAGGGATGAAGGGCCAGGGAGAAGATCAGAGGTGAGGGGAGGAGGTCATGAGCCAAAAGAAAGGGCCAGGTGGGGTCAATGAGGGGGACGTGGGGCCAAGAGGAAGAGGTCACGGGAACTGTGAGTCTAGGTGTCTGGACCCTCCCACCACTATGGGTGATGGCTGCACCTGCGGTGGGGACAGCGTGGGCAGAATGTTCCAGTAGCCGCCTGGGTCCCCAGGGTCCCCCTCAGATCCCACCTCTCCTGCCCCCCGCCCCGACCGTACCCACACGCAAGGCACAACACACAAGCTCCCGGGGGCTTTACCAGTTTCTGTGCCCACGGTCACCCTGACGACCAGACCCCAGGGCGCCACCCAGAACCAGGCATCTGACCTTCACGCCATGAAAACTCAAGACAGCGGTCGGTGCCTCTGTCTTCACAGCCCTGCCGGGCCTGCCCTGTCATCGGGCCCCACCACCCACCCTGAGCTGCAGGGAGGCATCGACCAGGTGACCCAGACACCCCCAGACAGGGCCCGGGCCACCGCCCTGGACAGGGGGACGCTCCACCAGCACAGACCAGCACGAAAGAGCAGCCTCGGGGGGGCGTGACGCCCCAGGCCTTGGGAAGGTGGCAGGACACAGGGACAGACGATGTGGTGGCCGCCGTGCCCCACGCCTGAAGCCTGGGGAGGGGGAAGGCGGCCCCCACGGGCAGAATGCAGGGGGGAGGGGCGGAGTCCCGTGACTCACCGAGCCCAGGCCGTCCTTGTCATACACGTCCAGGTTGCAGTACTGCGGGATCTGCAGGAGGGGCGTCACCTTCTCCTTGTCCGCGGCAAACTGCCCACAGAGCAGGCGTGAAGGGGGGGCCTTCCTGGCCTCCCCGCGCCCCCGCCGCCTCCCCGCCCCGGGGCCTTCCCCGCTCCGCACCTTGGACAGCAGCTGGGGCAGCACCTTCACAAAGTGTCGGCTCATGCTGGCACGCTCACGCCAGCGGCGGGTCCCGTCCACCTCCCTGGAGGCCTGTGGGCAGAGCGAGCGTGGCCTGAGCCCACGGCCGACCCGTGTGAGTCTCATGGTGGCCCTGGGACCGGCCGACACGGGCCCAGATCACACCCAGGCAGCGCTGCCCCGTGCACGTCACAGGTCTGGCTCCAGATTGCCACTCCGGGGTTTTGTTCCACACACGCTGGTTCACGTGCATGGAAACGGTCAAGAAAACGGAGTCGTCTCCCCCCAGCTCACGCCTTACGGCGCACCCTCATCCAGTAGGACTGGGGTGTCGTTAAAAAGAGACATCAGAGAACAGAGCCAGACACATGCACGGGGGAGAACGTGACAGTCACATGAAAATGGAAGCAAGTACAGCACGGATGTGGCCAAAAGCCCAGGGGCGCCCGGAGCCCCAGAAGCTGGAAGAGGCAGGAAGGACCCTCCCCTGGAGCCTCTGGAGGGAGCCCAGCCCTGCCTGGATCTCTGTGGTCCTGCCCCCCCCGGGTCTCAGTGGCCCTGCCCTGCCTGGATCTCAGTGGTCCTGCCCCCCCTGGGTCTCAGTGGTCCTGTCCCACCTGGATCTGAGGGGCCCTGCCCTGCCCTGCCTGGATCTCAGTGGCCCTGCCCTGCATAGATTTCAGCGGCCCTGCCCTGCCTGGGTCTCCATGGTCCTGCCCCCCCTGGGTCTCAGTGGCCCTGCCCTGCCTGGATCTAAGTGGCCCTGCCCCTCCTGGATTTCAGTGGCCCTGCCCCGCCTGGGTCTCAGCGGTCCTGCCCCTCCTGGGTCTCAGTGGCCCTGCCCTGCCTGGATCTCAGTGGTCCTGCCCCTCCTCAATCTCAGCAGCCCTGCCATGCCCGGATCTCAGCGGTCCTGTCCTCGTGGATCCCAGTGGCCCTGCCCTGCCTGGATCTCAGGGGTCCTGCCCTGCCTGGATCTGGCCGCCCCTGCCTGCCTGGATGTCAGACTCCTCTCCTCCAGAGGTGGGGCAGGACGCCCAACCCCTGTGGTCCTAGGTCCCCCCGGGTGTGATCTGTCCCAGCAGCACCAGAGACCCACACAGAGACGATTCGGGGGTTGGCTGACACTGCCGTGTCTGGTGTGAACCAGGCGGGGGGACTGTGGGGTGCCCCCCCGGGGAGGCGGACGGCTCACACGGGAACAGCTGGCAGAGGGCTGGTAGCGGCAGGAGGGGCGGGCAGGAGCTGGGAGGCACAGTCAGCGAGACCTACCTGGGTGGGCGGGAGCCCCGCCCACAGAGCCAGCGGCCCAGTGAGCAGCTAGCGTGCCAAGCACAAGGCAGCAAGCGATCGCGTGGCCGCGCGGGTGGGGGTGGGGGAGCCCCACGAGCCCGAGGCCGCAGCGGGCACCCCCAGAGCCCCGGCACTGACAGCAAGGGCGCAGCAGCCACAGCGCAGCGGTCAGCACAGGGGACGAAGCGCATCCGGGCGGGGGCGGGGGTGGCACTGACTCTCTTGCCCAGTTCGCGGCCAGCAGGGGGGTGGCCCTCTGCGGCCTGTCGCACGGCGGCCACGAGGATCTCGATGAGGACTCTCTCCTGCTGGCTCGTCAGCGCTGCAAGGAGACGGGGTCCGGTCAGCGCCCTCCGAGCCTCACGGGGACACACGGTGCTCTGGCCGCCGCAGGGCTCTGAGGGGCCTCGGGGAGCCCGGCGCGGGGCGAGCGTGGTGGGGCCCCCGGGCACAGCCACAGGCCGACGGCTCGTGGGCTCAGTGACACACAGACCAGAGCCCCCGGGGCCAGCCCTCCGCTCAAACCGCACTCAAAGGGACCCCCTGTCACCCGTTCAGGTCAACGTGGGACCTGGCGCTGGCCCGGGCTGGGACAGACGCACACGTCCTCAGGGCAGCACCCGATGGGACCGCAGACCGGGGTTCACCTGGCTTTGCCCCAAAATGCTAGCACGCGGGTCTAAAACCATCCAGCGGACCACACGTCTGCTCACGGAGCGTTCTGCACTGGCTTTCGCTCCAAAGTCACACCCACGCGGAACCTCACAAAGGGACCTTGTGGGAAAATTGAATCTTTGCACATGTGATTAAGTGAAAGACCCAAGATGAGGTCAGCCTGGATGAGGGTGGCCCTAACCACAGTGACAAATGTCCTTATAAGAGACAGAAAACGACACAGACACAGAAGAAGCCCTGTGGAGGCGCGGGGACAGACAGGAGGGACGCAGCCACAATCCCAGGGACGCCTGGAGCCCCAGAAGCTGCAAGAGGCAGGAAGGACCCTCCCCTGGAGCCTCTGGAGGGAGCACAGCCCTGCCTGGATCTCCATGGTCCTGCCCTGCCTGGATCTCAGAGGCCCTGCCCCTCCTGGATCTCAGCGGTCCTGTCCTTCCTGGATCTCAGCAGTCCTGCCCTGCCTGGATCTCAGTGGCCCTGCCC